GATGCCGTGACTGACCCAGGGCGAAGTGACCTTGTACGCGCAGGAAGCGAAGTAAACAAGGCCATAAAACTTGAGGGATGTCACAGACCAGGATGTTTAAGTACAATAACGGGACTTGAAAGAAAACTCTCAAAGACCAGCTGTGCGCACAGGACTAACCAATCAGACTCAGATATATATACTCCTCTGTAATCAATAAAGGAAGTTCATTTTTGTACCTGCATTGAGAGTCTTGTCCTGATTGCGGCAACATCGTTTGGCAGAAGGGTGTTTTTCTTACAAGGACCCAAATACGCAGTTTTTTGCTTTGTACTGGGGCCTGGCGAGTGCCTATCGAGCTGCTGTGGACTATGCTCAGAAGGCTAAGGCTGAGGCGGAAACTCAAACCATACCACCTGAGACCAGTGCCGCCTATACTACATCCACTGAAAGCGAAACTCAGTCTACACCACCTGAGATACCTCTCACCCCTGTAGTGGCAAGGAAGTCGTGGATATCAGTGCCCGACAGTGTAAGTCTACGACCAGATGGAGATAAAAGCAAGTCAGAAGATAACGGGGCAGGGATCGATACTGATACCAGTGTCAATATTCTACCTCCACGAGGAGTATCACCCCAAAAGCGGAAACTGCAGTTTTGTGGTCAATGACCCCAGCAGAACTCTGGGACTTACAAAAAGATTACACTTGTCGGCCTGGTGAGCGAATTCTATCGTGGTTGCTCCGATGCCGAGACCGTGGGGCTAGAGCTCACCTATTATCAACTGCTGAAGCAGAACAACTAGCATCCATCTCTGGAAACCGTGAACTTGATCACTTAATTGCAGAGGCGAAACCCAACCGCAGTCTTTGGGCGTGACTTGTCTTAAGTGCAAGACAAAGACAAATTTAAAGACTATTTAATGTGCCCCGTGAGGAAGTGGACCAAGGTAGAAGACGCCGTCCAATACCTAAGAGAACTGGCATTGTTGGAAGTTATGTATGATGACTCTCAATGCGATCCTGTCGCTGATGACCCAGAGGGTGTCACTTGCACAATGCCCATGTGGAAAAAGATAATCCAGGGTACTCCTGCATCATATGTTCATACCTTGGCCGGAGTAATGCTTCCAAACACGGAAGAAATGATTGTGGGCACGCTTCTAGAAGAAGCAGTAGAATCTAGGAATGAGTTTTCTAGAGACTATTTTGATTCTAGTTACAAACGAAGACCTGAGAGAGAGGAACCTTACAGGCGCTCTGAATATGAGGATGACTATGGAGACCACAGGGACAGACACTACAGAGACAGATCAGCAGATGTAAGGGGGGTACTTTTGAATTAGATGATCAATGGAGCATAGAGGCGTGAGAACGGAATCATATTAGGATGTGAAACCAGCTAGAGTATGGTACAATGTAACTTCGTGGCACAAGCTAATTGTAAGGTCCATTGTGCTTTTTAGCAAGTCAGCTTGATATCCCCTATTATCAGAGCTGAGTTCTTCCTTGGTTTTGCTACATATTGCAAGATAGATACATCTACCCTTGAAACACAATGGTAGAGGTCATACATAGGGGTGAGAAAGATGATGATGGGAGGAAGATTATGTGGGCAGGGGTCACTCGCCCCTTGCCCTACAGCAGGGCATGCGCAGACTGTTGCTATCAGGTAATGATTAGGCGGGGTTTGGCTGCCACTCAGGCATCACCTTATACTGGGTACTGGCCCTACATGGTGTAATGTGGAACTGATAAAA